AACCCAACTTTACTTTTTTTTTTAATTATTTAAAAAAAATCATATTGTTGTCGGGTTATTTTTTTTAACTATTTAAAAAAAATCATATTCACAATAGATGTTATATTAATAACTGAAATCTCATAAAATTTAAATATCAAACATTTACCATTATAACTTCGGTTATAAACGCTAAATATTATGTCGCCCAACCAGACGTCTCTTCCGAACCAGGTTGCTGACATCTTCCTAAAAAAGTGTTTCTCGACCTCTCTTTTAATTTTTTTAGATCCAAGTTTCACGTTCGTCAAATCTGATACAGGGTGTCAAAGGATATTTAGTCCCCAATTATAGTTTATCATATATCATATTTGACTTTTTATTATAGCTAAATATTATGTATCCATTTATTGCTCTTAACCTATCGATTGTAATTTATTTGATTCTCTAAATGATTATAAATAGAGAAATTTCATCTATTAGGTGTGGTGGTTTTAGCAAATATTATCAAGCACCACCACTAATTCTCTGATGAATAATTTGTTTATGATTCAACCATAAACGAAGTTTTTTTCGTGATCGTGAGAAAGTGGGTACCTTATTTATGTGTCGAAAACAGGACTTACAGAACTACTCATCTACATACCTTGCACGAGAAGGGATAAATTTTATCTCATGAAAATGTGTTCCAACTCCCTGTTTGTTAAGTTTTCAAAATAGGTATATTGAATTGATTACCAAAATTATTCTGATTGAAGCAATTCAAAGGATAAATTACAATTATAGTTTAGATTCATGGACGTTCAAAATATCTTAATATGCCTTTTGAACATTCTTTTCCAACCTAACATATCTATGAATATTTGTGGTATATAAAATTGAAACTTTCGAATAGATCCTTAGACGGTAAAAAAAAAATTAAATAAATAAATTTCATAATTCTTTTGTACAAAAAAAAAGGGTAATTTTAGAGTTTCATTAATTAAAAATCTTAATTTTTTATAGTCTAATTAAACTAATTAATAATAAAGAGCGTTAAAATGTATGAAAAATCTATTAAACACAAATTTAAAAATATAACTTTAATCTGTGTAGAATTGGATTTCGAGGGTCAAAGATACTTTCTACGATGTCGAGGACTTGGTTAACGAGTTTGCTTATGAAACCGTGCGGCGAAAACTTATAGCCAAAAGTAAAAGAGGGGTGAAAGAGGTACGTGAAGTTTTCTCTATGCCTCATCATATTGCATTCGGTTTAAAATGAGTCACAAAATTAAAGACATTAGAGAGAAACTAAGTGATATTGATACTGATAAAAATCAATTTCATTACATGGAGCGTGCTATAGATACTCGAAATGATGAGCTGAGGAAGAGTCAAGAGACTTCCTCTTTTATGTAAGAGACTTCTTCTTTTATGTATGATGAAGAAGTGGTTGGTAGGAACGATGACAAGAAAGCAATTATGGATCTTCTGTTAGATACAAATACGGAAATTCATGAGAACATTGCAACAATTGTCATAGTTGGAATGGGAGGATTGGGAAAGACCGCACTTGCACAATGTGTCTACAAAAATGAAAACACAACCGCACAATTGAAGTTGACATTATGGGTGTGTATTTCGGAACAATTTGATGTGAAGGTTATTGTTGAGAAGATTATAGAGTATGGGACAGGAAAGAAGCCTAAGATCCTTCAAATAGATTTGTTGCAAAGTGAAGTTCGAAAGCATATTGATGGGAAAAAGTATTTGTTCATCGTGGATGATGTGTGGAATGAAAATTAAAGAAATGGGTTAATCTTAAAAGATTGTTAATGGGTGGTGCAGAAGGTCATAGAATTTTGATCACAACAAGTCATCAGCTAGTTGCAGGGACTTTTAATACAATTTCATCCTATACTTTTAGGGCAAAGAGAGGAGGCACAATTCATGCTATCAATATTGGAGCTCAGTTATAACCATCTCCAATCTAGTTTGGAGTAATGTTTTGCATATTGTTCTTTATGGAGCCTGATGCGGTACAGATATATTTACAAGATATTTTATGTATGTAGACTTGGTAGAGATAGATATTTCATCTATGTATATATGGTACATATTTGGTAAATACGCTATAGGTTTAAATTTTTAAAAACTATATTTAGTAAATTGAAACGATGTATATACCCACTAGCCATTGCTCTCAAAAGGTACTTTCTTCCTTATTTATTTTGTGTTACTTTCTTCCTTATCTGTATTTTGTGTTGTTGTATGACTGAAGTCATCAATAAAACCTTTAGTCAATATTTTTCTTACTGTTTTTTGTTTGTTTGTTTTTTTTTTTTTTTTGTTCATCTTGATCGAGTGTGTGCGTTGTTGAGCTATCCTAACACTTCATTCCCCGAAGATTATATCTTTCAAAAAGATCAAATGATGACAATTGGTGGTACAAGGTTTCATTTAATCAATTGGCAAAATTGAGCTAAATGATATTAGTGAAAATTATTTGATGGAGTTATTATCAAGGTCATTCTTCCAAGATGTTGACCTTCAAGATGTCACAAAAAATAAAATCGGTGGCATAGTAGAGATTAAGATGCATAATTTAATGCATAATCTTGCTTGTTCAATAGTAAAAAACGATTACATTTCTATGGACGCAAATGATAGGGTGGTCATTGAAAGAACTCGTTATATCTCAATTTACCTTGACTCCAATTTTAAATTGGATTCCTTAAAATTATTGAGTGAAGCAAGGAATTTGAGGACATTAATTATCGATGCTCTCAGTAACGATTGCTAAAAAGTCTTTAAAGTAATCCCTTCCAAGTTTTTGCAATTAAGAACATTGAGGTTGAATTTGATCTCTCCTCAAGCATTGTCTAAATCTATTGGCAAGTTAAAGCATTTAAGATATTTGAATCTAAACTTAGGTTCCTTCCGAATGCTATGCCTGAGTTGTATAATTTGGAATCACTTATTCTTAATAAGTGTGTGCACTTAAAAAAGTTGTCGAGGGATGCAAAAAATTGGAGGAATATTAGGTATCTAAGCCTTGCTGAAAATTTTCGTATAGAATTCCTTCCAGATTTGATAGATAAATTGAAGAATTTGGAAACACTCATCTTGCAAAGTTGTGTGTTGTTAAAAGAATTACCGAAAGATATTAAAAAATGTGTCAACCTTAAGCATCTTGATTTAAGTGGTTGCGATTATTTGACTAATTTACCCAAAGGACTAGGTGAGCTTACTGGTCTTCAAACAATGAATCTTTTTGTATTAAACAAAGGTGCTGGTTGTGATTTAAGCGAGTTGAATAGATTGAATAAGTTGAGGCGATCGTTAACTATTAAAGGTTTGGAATTTTGTACAACGGATGATCTTGAAAAGAATTCTTTTAACTTACAACAAAAGTTGGGTGTTCGAAAGTTGAAGTTAGTTTGGAATTATTCCGAAGATGAGCCTATGAATATTGGCTTAAACGACGACTGCAAAAGGGTTTTAGAATGCTTACAACCACATTCAAATGTTCGAAAGATACATATATGCGATATGGAGAAGTCAGACTTGTGATTGACTATTCTCGAACGCCATTGTTCACTTGGTCAGCATAAACCTTTCAGATTGCTTCAAATTGGAAGTTCTCCCAAAATTTGATCAATTTCCTTTGCTCAAATATTTGGTTCTTCAATCATTACCCTGCATCGAGCCGAGTACATTGACAATAATGATTATCCTGCTTCATCAATGCTTCTTCCATCCCTTAAGAAATTAAGCATCGTATACATGCACAATTTAAAAGGAGGGTAGAAGGGTGAAACTTCATCGATACAGTGCCTCATTTCTTACAACAATGTCTTGCCTTTGTGAACTAAGGATCATTGATTGCCCTCAGTTGGCTTCAATCCCGTGGCATGCCCCTTTGCAATCATTGCAACTAAGTGCAGTTAGTTTACAACTGCTTAATAAAGTAATTGAAAAGATTGCCGAGTCTTCTTCTACCCGGTCTAAAATATCTTCTCTTTATATTAGTATGATGAGTTTCTATCAAGGGAGTTATTTTATCATTTCACAGATCTTGAGAAACTTTCATTCGTAGACTGCAAAAGCTTACAAATATCTTCTTCTCTTGCACAACATCCTACTAATGATGCACTATGGAAAGAGTTTCGAAGTCTCCGCTCTTTATATCTCAGTGAAATTCCTAAGTTGGAATATTTGCCGTACGGGATTCAACATGTGACAACTCTTCAAAGCATCTGCATAGAAAGATGTCTAAATTTAATAACTCTACCAGAATGGATAGGCAACCTTACATCACTCTCAAACCTGTCAATTATCAAATGTCCAAAGCTCACTTCATTACCGGAAGGAATTCACAACCTCAACTCTTTGAAATCGTTGAAAATTTGGGGTTCCCCCAAATTAATAGATAGGTACAAGAAAGGAAGAGGAAAAGATTGGCCAAAAATTTCTCATGTTCCCTTTGACATTGATTTGACATTGAAGCGAAGAAGAACTTGTTCATCCATCAACTACCGTTCTCATCCGGTGTGTAAAATCATTTCCTCTCATTATTTTTATACTTAAAATTAATTATGTAATCATTTCGATTGATTTCTCTAACTCGTTTTCTTTCTTAGTGAAGTTTCTGTACTATTATTATTATTTATGTGCCCATTGATTTTTAATTTTAATTCTTTAGACTTGCTTAATGATGCTCGTTGGTTTCCGTAACAATAGCAGATATTATCTTCTTTAATCCGTTACATTTCGTCGTTAGCTTTACGATTTTTGAAACGTGTCTGTTAGGGAGAGATTTTCATACTTTTATAGGGTATGTTTCGTTTCCTTCTCCAACTGACATGGGATCTCACAATCCATCTCGTTTGAAGCTCAACGTCCTCGCTAGCACACTATCCCGTTACATATCAATAATGAGAACGGTGGCACATGTCATTAACCGACTTCGGCAACATAGGCTCGGGTTCTATCTCATGAAAAGTGGTTGAACATGAAGCCATAAAGAAATGAAGGTTGTAGTTATGGGTAGATTTCATTTTTCTTTGCCTTTCTATGACTGTACACTATCAAAGCCAAACATAAAAGAAGAAAGAAAATGAAAGATAACACTAAATATTATGTTGTTGAAGATTATAGATTGGTAATTTGTCTGTGGAACTACTATATTGGGCAGTTTATTTGGTTTGGACATTTTTGTTTGCTACTTCTGTTCATCTTCTTCATCAAGGCTTTTATTTTTGTCATTTCTCCATGATTTGAACGTGTAAACCGTCGGGAAACTGTAAACCGGGCGTTCGGACGATATTGCCTCCCTTGATTGCTTTGAACCTGACAGTCCCAAATGTACGAGCATTAGTTTCTCTTTCGATTTATTAGTTTTCAAAACTTGTCTTGAATTTTGAAAAACATTTGTAAATGGTACGTAACAAAACAAAAAACTTATAAATAGAACCAAAAAAGAATCTACGAATCGAGAACTAAATGATTGTCGAACACGAGATTTAGGTGTAGAGAGAGTTAGCATCTCATTCTTGCAACTTACGTGTACTTTGTAACCAGGCAGTGGAGAAACACAGCCATTTGAAGTTTGGTAAAATCTGTACCAACACATAACCTCATGCCCCCACCAAATGCCATGAAATGTTTAGATGCTCCATTCAATTCGGATTTCTGTCGACCATAACTTCAAATTTAAAGTTATGATGTACCAGCTTAAGCTCACCGCCAGTAGATATTGTCCGTTTTGATTCATTATGTATCGTCGTTAGTCTAACGATTTTAAAACACGTCTATTAGGGAGAGATTTCCATATCCTTATAAAGAATACTTTGTTCCCCTCTTCAACTAACGAGGGATCTCACAATCCACCCTCCTTGGTTGTCCAGCGTCCTCATTGACACACTGTCCAATGTCTGGCTCTAAATATCATTTGTAACAGTCCAAGTCCATTGGCTAGCAGATATTTTCTGCTTTGACTCGTTACGTATCGTCGTCAGCCTTACGGTTTTATAACGTGTTTGCTAGGGAGCAATTTCCACATCCTTATAAGGAATGTTTTGTTCCCCTCTCTGGGATCTCACAATCCACCTCCCTTGAGGTCTCAAGCGTCCTTGTTGGCACATTGTCCGGTGTTTGCCTCTAATACGATTTGTAACAGCCCAAGTCCACCGCTAGTACATATTGTCCGCTTTGGCTTGTTACGTATCACCATCAACCTCACGATTTTAAAACACATCTCCTAGAGGTTTCTACCTTCTTAAAATGAATGTTTCGTTCCCCTCTCCAATCGACATGGGATCTCAAATAGTAACAAGCTCCAAAAAGTGAAATAAGACCACATACCTCCCACCGCCATGGATTAAAAGCGAGGGGATCAACATATTTTTCAGGATTCAAGTGCACGGCAGGAGGGCAGACCATAACTGACCACCCAGCTGGAATGGTATATCCTGCTCCAACAAATGTGTAGCCGCCATTTGTGATGATGTTATCAAGAAAAATAATCTATGAGCTCAATATACATACATACACTACATACATACCCTTAAACTGGATGTCTCTCAGTGCTTTTCGAAAGATTCCCGGAACTATATTTGCCAGTCTCACAGTTTCATTGATGAACTGACAATTGAAGAAGTTTAGTTATGAGAAACAAAGAGGCCTTCAAGAGATGAAATAATTAAAGTAACCTGAAATGTGAATGTCATGGATTTGTATTCATCCCATGTAAGCCCACAATCTGGATTCTCCCTTGCCTTCAATATCCCCTCATGTTCACACTGATAAAGATGCAAATAATGGATTTAACATGAGGATATTGTTGTTTAAAGTTGAAACAACATTAAACAGACCGTCAGCTCCTCCAGCACATGAGGATTGTTGAGGAGGAATTTAATGGCTGCAGTAATAGCAAGTGAAGTAGTTTCGAAGCTCGCAAAAAGCAGCACAAACATGAGGTCCAAAGCAATCTCCTCGGTGAGAAGAGTTCCATCCTTCGCCAGTTCTTCAAGAACATAATCAAAAAAATCTGTTTGCTCTTTCCTTGGATTTGCACGCCTTTCTTGTAGCATGTTTTTCAGCATCCTCATCGCTCTTTTCCTGCCCTGTTGAATTGTTGAATTAGGGAAGAACACGCTCAGTTTCTATAGGAGGTGCCTAAATATACTACTAGTAGATATTGTCTGTTTTGACTCGTTATGTATCGTCGTTAACCTTACGGTTTTAAAATCCGTATACTAGGGAGAGGTTTGTTCCCCTCTCCAATTGATGTGGGACCTCACAATCCACCCCTCTTAGGGCCCAGCATCCTCGCTGGCACACTGCTCGATGTCTGACTCTGATACCATTTTTAATAGCCAAAGTCCACTGCTAATAGATATTGTCCGCTTTGCCCCATTACGTATCGTCGTCAACCTCATGGTTTTAAAACGTGTCTACTAGAGAGAGGGTTGTTCCTCTCTCCAACCGATGTGGGACCTCACAATCCACCCCCCTGAGGCTCAGCGTTCTCGCTGGCATACCACCTGATGTCTTGCTCTAATACCATTTGTAACAGCCCAAGTCTACCATTAACAAATATTATCTGTTTTGGCCCGTTACGTATCGTCGTCTCACATTTTTAAAACGCGTCTACTAGGGAGAGGTTTGTTCCTCCTCTCTCCAACCGACGTGGGACCTCACAATCCACCCCTCTTGGGGCCCAGCATCCTAACTGGCACACCGCCTGATGTCTAGCTCTGATACCATTTGTAACAACCCAAATCCACCACTAACACCTTGTTACGTATCGTCATCAACCTCACGGTTTTAAAACGTGTCTACTAGGGAGAGGTTTGTTCCTCTCTCCAACCGACGTGGGAACTCACAATCCGTACCCTTGGGGCCCAACATCCTCACTGGCACACCACCCAATGTCTAGCTCTGATACTATTTGTAACAGCCCCAAGTCTACTACTAACAGATATTGTCCGCTTTAGCTCATTACAAATCGCCGTCAACCTCATAATTTTAAAATCGTCTATTAGGGAGAGGTTTGTTCCCCTCTCCAACCAACGAGAGCTTATAGTTAGAATGACTGTAGTATAATTGGTTTACCTGTAAACATTTGTTATAAGCTGTTCCAAAAACATTTAGAGGGAAGGAAATCAAGCCCTGTATGAATGCAACGAAGTTGTCTCTCAAATTCTCTTCAGAATTTTCTGAATCATAACTAATCAGCTTCTTTGCAGTCAGATTAAAAATCATCTGCAAGAACAACAAAAATCAGTATCAAACCAAACATGGAGAACAAACAGGTTTGGTTCTAAACTTTTCATTGTAATTACACTTGCAGTCTCATCCTTCAATTCAACCGATTCAAGAGATGACCATTGTGTCAATCTTGTGGTAGCTACAGCCTCCACTTCAGATATCATCTTCCTCAGATTTTCAGGGCCAACAAGATGAAGAACCATGTTCTTCAGGAACTTATACATGAAACCGTGCAATGAACCAACATTTTGCCTTCCAAATATCTGGGTGAAGGTAGATGGATACCAGCTCTGGAACAAGTGACCCTCTTGTTGAAAGATGAAGTGATTGAAGTCGGGGTCGGTTGAGACAATCAGCGGTCTTCCCACCAAACTTGTTCTGAAGATTGGTCCGTACCTATCCACTCTGTTTCTGATGAAAGGAGGGACATCAGAGGAGGTATTGGGAGCGAAGAACTGGAAGGTTTCACCAAGCAGAGGGAACCCCATTGAACCTGGTGGGAGTTTCCCATTACATTTGGGGTTTCTCCAACGGTAAAGCCAGTGTGTAAAGCTCAAAACAACAATAGTTCCTATCAAAAGAACCCACATTTTGGTTGCTGCAAACTGAAATGGAAGTATTGTGGGTAAGTGGTGCTTGGATGTGCTCTTATCTTCTCTTATAGCCTCATTGGACGTTGCAACTTGTTAAGATTTTAATGTAAATCTTTTGTTATTCGATATCTAATTTCGTTTTACCTCTGTATAGTCCAAAGTTAGATATTTAGTCATAAATTATAGTTTAAAATATATATCATATTCGACTTTTTATTATAGGTAAATATCTAGATATTTGTCTCCTATTACGTCCGTATCATGTATACATTTATTGATCTTTCCATTTATTTCTCTTTCAATATAGTTGGTAATGTATTTGATTGTGTAAATGATTATAAATAGAGAAATTCCACGTGAGATGGTTTTAGCAAATATTATCATGGTATCACACCTCTTTTGGTTTAGCAACCTATATCTTTTCTTCACTATGATTCTAAATCATCTTCTCTACCACCACTGTTGGCTTTGACGCTGCAGGGGCTGTCGTCATGGCTGGCGCAAGCAGAGTCGATTGATTACTCTTCAGCTCCACCTTTTTTGTCTTCAAATCATCCTTCGCAAACTCACCTTTTGTCGTACTTTGTACATACAACCTCACTTCCTCTAACACAATTGGTCTCGCCTTGAACCAGAAACCTCCTCATCTTCAACCTCGACAACTAAAACTTCCCTTCCATCTTCCACTTTCATCTTCTTCTTTCTTCTCTTTGTATTTTTCACGATTATGGCTTCCTCTTCGGCCTTTGTTGTCATCCTTGTCGCTTTAATCGCTGACTCTTTGAGCTAGGCCTTGGGTGCTGCACTGGCCTCTTCGCCAACCAAGTCACTATCAGCCTCCTTGTCAAAAACGGCTCCTTTGCTCACTGTGGCTCCCTCCCCGTCCATTGGAACTTCACCACCTGTTATGACGCCGACTACTTCTCTACCGGTTTCGCCTACTATGCTCGAGATATTCTTACTCGTGCTCATTTGCTCGATAGCAAACCAGTCCACAAAGCACAGACCCCACTCCATTTCTGCCCTATCTTTCTTCTTCATCTAAAATACAACACAGAGTCCGCTCTCTCGGTCTCCGTCATCTTCTTCCTCTCTTGTTCTTCTCTTCTTCACACCCACCATCGAACCCTCTCTGTCTATGCCTCTCGCCTTTTCTCAAAATAGAGTCATTGCCCCAGGAATCTCTACCTTGCATCTCTATAGTTCACACTCATAGTTGTTTCTCAACACCTAATTGCTGATGGTTCACCTTTCTCTAATCCTAGATTGTTGTCGTTGATAGTCGATCCTTCTGCAGTTTTCGATGGCCAAGAAAATACTATGCCGCCCGACCAAACATCTCCTCCAAACCAGGTTGTTGGCATCTTCACAAAAAGTGTTTCTCGACTTCTCTTTGAATTTTTCATATCAAAGCTTCATGTTCATCAAATCCGACGCTCAGCTTACAGGGGTGTTAAAGATATTTAGTCCTAAATTATAGTTTATGATATGTATCGTATTTAACTAGTTAAATATAATCATCTATTTATTGCTCTCGATATCCTTTGTAATTTATTTGATTCTCTAAATAGTTATAAATAGAGAAATTTCGCTAATTTACATGTGTGGTGTTAGCAAATATTATCAAACACCACTAATTCTCGAATGAATAATTTGTTTATGATTCAACCATAAACTAAGTTTTTCTCGGGTCATGAGAAAGTGGGCCCCTTATTTAAATATTGAAATCAGGACTTACATAACTATTCATCTACTTACCTTACATTGGAAGGGATGAATTCTATATCATGAAACCATGTGTTCTAACTCCCTATTTGTCCTAAAATAGTAGTTATAAGGATAAACTCTCTCGTATACACGTTTATAACTTGCTTAGGTTCAAGATCCTGTCTCATATGATCATTTCAAAAATTATTATTTAATACGTTAAATTACCATTATAGTTTTGAAACTTTAAAACTTATGTCTAATAGATCCAACCGAATATTTGTGGTATATAAAATTGAAACTTTTTAATAGATGCTTAGACGTTTTTTTTAGACACAAATTTTTTAAAAATATGGTCTTTAAAAATCTATTATATATACTATTAATAATAAAATTAATAATCTTAATAAATGCATCGCTCGATAGATTGAGGCAGGTCTACCCTCTAATGCTATATTGTTAATTTAATTTTTATGATTAGTTAATTATTTGGTATCAATTATGTTTCGTTTATAGCGATTTTACCAATTGGCTACTTGTTTAAATTTGGTTTTAACTTCGATGGAGTATAGACAGGTTGAGTTGTTGAAAAATTATTTTAGACCAATCCAAAATTTCGTTCGGTTGGTAACCCATACAATCCAAATAGAGTTCACAACCCAATTTATTTATTTTTTAATTATTCAAAAAAATCATATTCAGATTGGGTTGTCGGGTTATTTTTTTTAATTTTTTTAAAAACCATTTACTAGTAACAATTCATCATTAACTTCCGTTGCAAACGCTTAATTTTTTAAAATTAGTGTAGTGTTGGATTGACCCAACAAAAAAAATGTCAACCCACAAATCCAACCAAATTTTTTTGTTTTAAAAAAGTTCAACCCAACCCAACCTTTATGGTTTAAGTTGGATATTTCGAGTTTGTCCGTTTATCGGGTCATATGAACAACCTTAAATTTAAATTTATTAACATGTGCATAATTCAACTTAAGAAGCCAAATATTTGAATCTCGCATTTCATAACCTATTTAATCTCTAAATAATTACGGATTATTTTAAATTTTTTTTTATAGAAATTAATTATAATATTTAAAATTATAAAAACTAAATTTTAATTTTAATTTTTTTTAATGATAGGGACCAATTTTTTAATCTAACTTTATTTTTAATTTTATTTATGTGCCAATAAACTAAATAGAACTTCTAAATATAGAATTAAAATGATAAAACAAAAATTAACCTGAAATAGTAGAAATCAAATTTATAATTCAATAGCGCCCGAAATTATCGACGCATTAAAAGTTATAATTTAACATTTTAAATTTGGTATTAATTATTGTTTTAATTAAAATATTAACATAAAAGATATTTATATTGATTAATATGACTATATATCAATAGTGTTAACTTTTTTGTTGAGATATTTAATGCTATTAATTTTTAATTATATCTAATTAATTATTTAATTATTTAGTATTAACTATGGCTTTCAAGTTTAAATTAATATCTTAATATAAAAACTATACATTTATTTTCAATGTTATGTGTGGATATGTTTTAAAATTTTCAAACCGTGGATGTAATTTTTCGGTTGTAATGTTTGTATATACTTGAAAATGATATTTTGAAATATAATGATACTTTTTATATGCATAAAATTTTAAGATGATTATCTATCGTGTGCATGAAAATTACATTAAGATATAAGACAATTACATATTTATGTGCACGTAAATTTGATGGTGCGTAGGAATCTTGGAGGCAATTATTTATCTGTGTGCGTGAAAATTGTATCATTTTTCGTGACATGTCTTTGTGGTAATTACTTTTATATGGCTTGAAAATTATATCAATGTTTTGTGATCTCAGACTTGTAGCAACTACTCATATGTATGCATGTGCCAATTCTCAGAGGTACATACGTGGAAGTCAGTGGGCTCTATTCCAACGGATAATAATTGACACTTAGCTAGAAAAGTTGGGCCACCCGTCATAAAAAAAAAATACTAAAAGTCTTAATTCTCTAAGGTACATATGTGAGAATCTAGGTGGATTTTACTCCCATCGATAGAAATTAACACGTGCAATGAGCCAAGCCACTCTTTAGGCACATTCTCGTAACAAAAGATGGGTATGCATGTCCAACCATTACATAAAAGCTCACACAACAATGATACACATAGCGATTTGATATTTTGGGCCTAATTGAAGCTCTTTTAATTTGGTTTCAAATCCAATTTCGATAGTTCTCATTTTTTTTCTTTGTTCCACGACTAACCATGATTTGTAGCCATATAAAATAGTATAAAATACCCATAAACTAGAAAGAATTTACAATTGACACAAATAAATTTAAATAATTATGAAAAAAAAGTAGTTGCAATCTAAATTTAATAGTAAAAGTAGTTGACTATCATCGCTAAAAATGTCTTCAAATATTCACATTTTAAGTTAATTTTATTGCAACAAGTTCCTAGTTATTTAGGTAACTCTAGGAAGAGGAGTTTTTTTTTTTTTTTTTTTTTTTTTGAATGGGTTCGAGTAACTATTAGGGATGTTATAAAGTTCGATGACCTGAAAAACTTGTTGAATCCAATCTATTTTTACTGTTTGTTGGGTTAGGTTCAAATAAATAAACATTTTATGAATTGGGTTGGTTCATGAGTTTCCCAAAAATTAGATTGGACTCAGCCTGATCGACTCGAATTTATTGTTAATCAATTTTTTGGGTTAGGTTTAAATAAATAAACATTTTATGAATTGGGTTGGTTCATGAGTTTTCAAAAAACTAGATTAGACTCAACCTGATGGACCAAATTTATTGCTAATCAATTTTTTGGGTTAGGTTCAAATAAATAGACCTTCTATGAATTGGGTTGGTTCATGAGGTTATCAAAAACTAAATTTGACTCGGCCTAATCAACCCTGCTAATCATTTTTTTTTTGTTACGATATACATATATTTCTTTAATTTTATAATTATTTATTCTCCGACAACTCTTAAAATAACTTTTAACTTTTTGTCTCAAGTAATTTTTTAAATATATTTCAAATTGAATTATATAAGTGTGAAAATAAACAATACAAACTAACATTATTTTTGTTAAAAACAAAAAGTTATAAATGAATCTGAACCAACTAAACTCAAAAGAAAATTATAATTAAATTGGTTAAATTTATTATTTAATAAGAATTATTTGAGTCCGTTCTAATCACAAATATATATATATATATATATATATATATTTATTTATTTATTTATTTATTTATTTGTGTTTTGTAACTAGTAACTCCATATCTATTGTTTTAAATTTTGAGCAACTTTTGAAGAAAAAAAAAAAAAAAAATCAGCTTTCCAAGTACGGCGGTGGAAAGATAATCATCGTTTCTATTTAATTTCGTGGACTCTGCCTGCTCCGTGGGAAAGTTCGCAATTGTGGCTCAGGGCACTTGAATACAACACCCATAGCCCATTCCGTTATCGTTTTTCCTACCAATTTCACATCTTCTACGAAAAAGACTATCCAAATCAATCATATTACGTAATCAATTGAAGTTCTTCGGAAAGAAGATGGATTGAAACAGCGATTGAAACAATTCACAGGAGGAACGCGAATCGAGAGGAAGAAAATTGACTGTCCCGAGGCCGAAAGACAGAGGACATGGCGATGCGCGAGCTGGTTACTGGAGGCGCTGCTTGTGCCGTTCCTGGTTCTTCTTCTTCTTCTAACCCTCTCGGTGCCCTTGCCAACGCTCTAGTTGGTTCCTCTTCCAAGACCCAGGTTCTTTCCACCCCTACTTTCTGAATTTGTTCGATGCTTCAATTTAGTCATTCTTACTATCTGTTATCTGGGGTTCCATTAGAATTGTGTTTTCTTATACTTTGATATGTTAATTCATGAAATTTGCTGTTGCCTAGTATTGTGAAATTTAGATTGAGCTTTGGTTAACTTGGTCTTAGTTGCTGATTTTGTTCTTTATCTTACTCACGTTACCAAATTGGTATTTCTTCATATGGGTTTGATCCTGTGAATGAAGTTATTCGGTAATTCGTCTTATGTTTGAATAATATTCTGAGCAGGAAAGATTGCGGGAAATTCCTACATCGCAGCTCACAGGTCCTGAGAGACCTTTTTACCCTGAGAGCCATGGGCAGCTCCCTGGCTCTGAATTGGATCATCCACCGTTTCAACCCAATGAGCAGGTTTGGTTTTGCAAATTTTCCTTTTAGAATCCTCATTTAGTTTTTAACATATCGATTGTTTCGATTTTGCTTGATGTCAGGCGTCAAAATTTTTTAGTGGCTTCCACTCGGCTGCTGATCAGAGTGGTCTGGCCTCTGCATGGAATGAGGTACAGGGCGGTCCCCCTCCTCCCCATTTGAGAGAAATGCAACCAAGTCTTGCTGAATTTGATCGTATTTATGAACAAATGCCTGCTTCTCAGCATCAACCAGTATTTGAAGGTACTTCTTGAGTTTCTTCTTTATTCTTTTAAATTTATGGATCGTTGGTATTGTTGGCTTGTCTTTTGTGTTGCTTCCAAACTGTTTTAGTTCAATTATAAGGACTCTGCTAATGACAACAATAATTTAATTCAATGATATGGAGTTCCAGGCTTTTGACCTACAACACCTATCATCCATCAATTGACTTTAGAAGATACTTGTGTACACTAGTGATGTAATATGTCCTTAGTGTAGTATAGTTAATTGAAAAACTTCCTGATAATAGTCTTGATTTGAAACTCCAATCCCTGCAAATTATTGCTAGTCAAACAACAGTTTCCTCAACTGTGGCCTCTGCAGGTTTGGGATTCAGTTTCGAGTTATATAATTTTAATTAGGTTTAAAACCTAATTAAAATTTGTGTCACTGGATTGGGTCTTCCTTTGTAAACCTAAAACATGCTAACCTTGACTGACTTGGTAGAGTGGAAGATTCATTTTAGTTCGTCACGAAGTTTTTAAATGTTTGCAACTTTATCTGACTATGTAACATCTGCTAGTATTAGAGCTTGGATTTGAAATTCTTTTCAGTCCTACTAATTGTTTTCCCACTAATTATTTTATGGGAAAAATACCCTTTTGGTCCCTAAGTTTGGAGTATAGTTTCCATTTTAGTCCTTAGGTTTCAAAATGTTATATTTTTACTCATGACGTTTGAGTTTAGTTTCAATGTGGTGTTCTTTTAGCCATGATGCCAGGATTTGGATAGCTATTGTTGGTGTGAGTATCGCCGACATCGGGTGACCTCTTTTGTCTTTGTTTCATTCTGGTTTTCATGGAAAAGAGTGCCAAGGTCGGTATCCGCAAGGATAATCTCTGGCCACAGAAAAAGAGGTTGGGCATACCCGCGGCAGGGGATGGTGAGGTTGTGGAGGGGGGTAGAGGGCTAAATGCATATTCATCATTAGATTCTTTGTGAGAGCCGACAACGGAGAATTTTGTTTTTGGGATGAGGAAGGTTTTTTGGTTATTTATGATGACGACATGTTTTTTTGGTGATGATGTCACAACTTGTGGGTTGGAATAAGAAGTGGTATAGTAGATGAGGTTTTGGAGATTGGTGAAATGTAGGGTGAGGGGCTCCGTGGCCTTTGGTTTATGGGGGGAAGCTATGGGTTTATGGGGCATGGCCAATGGGGAGGGTGTGGAAGTGGCTTCGACTGGGGGTTTGACCTCTTTTTGTAGGAGTTGGCTTGGAAAATAGGGGTGATTCATAGCAGATAGGAGTGATCTTTATGTTTTAGGGCTTTGTGGTAACATTTTAGGGACCAGATGTAATATTTTAAAACCGAGGGACCAAGTGGAAATTAAACCTCAAAAGTAAAAGGGTAACATTTTGAAATTTAGGGACCAAATGCAAACTATACTCAAAATTAAAAAAAAAAAAAGAAGTATTTTTTCCTTATTTTATTTTTGACTTCACATTTGCTGTATACCAGGGCCACCGCAAAGAGTGCTGTCAAACTTTTTGCACTCATTTGTAGAGACCAGCCGTGGTGGAATTCCTTTTCATCCTACCCCTCTGCCTTTATTGGGACTATCTGAAGGTGATAAGCAGTGTATACGAGATCGTAGTAGCATAATGGCTCGACATTTTTTTGCAGATAAAAGTGAAGACTTCATAAATGCGCAGGTTTGGTGATCTCTCTATTTTGTACCAATTTCATAAGAAAGCATGCATTTTATACCAATTTTGTAGACATTGTCGAAGCTTTATTTAGGTGCAAGGTCATGTCTCATGTTTGGCTCTCATTTTATCCCTTTTTATTTTTCTTACTGGTATCTTTTTTTTTTTTTTTTTTTTTTTTT